GTATTTTTGTATAATGTATCATAAAAAAATAAATACAAAAAAAAATGGCCAAAAAATAATAATTTAAGGCTGGACCCACCCTTAACATTTAGGATGAAAAATAGATGTTGTCCGATTCTCAGACCTACTGAATCTTTATATATATAATTCTTCTGTGAGTGTGTATGTCACTGAACTTCTCTTAAACGACTGGACCGATTTTGATGAAATTTTTTGTGTGTGTTCAAGGGGATCTGAGAATGGTTTAGATTCACAATTTTGTCCGCTGGACAACCCCTATTTTTTTAGGGCGGTACGAAGTTCGCTGGGTCAGCTAGTATGCATATAAAATTTCATAAAAATCGGTCCAGCCGTTTCGGAGTAGTTCAATTAAGCACACCGTGAATCGAGAATTTTATATATTACATAATGTATCCGTTATATAAGGCATACTTAATGCAATTAGCTTTATTTTTCTTTACTTATAACATGGCAACAGATCCTCTTTTATTTACCCTCTTTTGTCCGTTCGTCTGTCGGTGGGTTGTATCTTATGAGCTGTAATAGATATATACGCAGTCGGAATTTTCTTAGTGTTTTTCGAATACCATTATAACCAAAAATAAAATTGGTGATGTTTTCGACATTTTTGTTGAACATTGAACATATAAGTGTTAGGGTCAAATATTTTACAGTAGTGCACAATTTTTCTTCATTTACAGAAAATATAGGTTAGGTGTATCCATCTATAATTTGTGGTAACTAAGTTGAACTTGTACGAAAGAAGACTGGGCGAAAGTGGTCCAAGAACCAATATCGACATCATTGTGGTATCTACGAGTATGTAGGTGTACACTTAAATACATAGGGGCTTCAAAATCTTGCTGAAGTTTAAAGAAAAATAATACATATATTCATACTACATGTTTTGTTTAATTAGGCCATTTCCTACTTAAGTACCCAATACATCTACCTGAAATATCTGACTACTGAAGTCAAATACAGTTAAAAATAGCTGATATAAACATCTTAAGTTTTTTTTTGTAAACCTTGTGTAATATACAGTCTATTTTTTCTCAAAACTGCCGGATTAGATTTTGATGCCCCGTTGTATTTAAGTGTAGTTAAGGTACTCCTACATAAATATCACAATGGTGTCGGTATTGGTTCTTGGACGAACTCCCATACAAATTTTGGCCTTTTTAGCTATGCAATATCTTTCTTATTGAGTGGCAGCCAGTAGGTACCTATTAATATATTTTTATTTATGCATGTAACTGCTGGAAATATTTATTATTATACCTTATTGTTTACTAGAACATACAGTAAAACCCGTTTAAGACGATTTCACAGGGACTCAACCAAAAACGTCTTATGCGGGATAGAGAAAAAAAGACGTACTACATATGAATATTTTTTATATTCTATTATTATTTCGAATGTAAGTATTGAGAAATTAAATGTAAAATATTTAAGAATTATGTACGTTACAAAAAATACTGTATTATTATCAAGTTATTTAAATAATCACTTATTTTAGATGGCAAAAAGATTTTAGGCATTAGAAATTACAAGGTTTACAACATAATTTAACTTTTGTAGTGCATAATCACTTAGGGCCTCTTCTTGTGTGTTATGACGCAAAATGGCGTATTATGCGAGAAATCGTATTAAGTGTGATCGTATTAAACCAGTTCTACTGTAATTAAAATTGTACCAACAACCTGTATTTTTTTAGAAAAATCTTTGGACACCAGTTTTGAAGATTCGGGCTTAACTGTAGAAACACGGCACTATTGGTTGCAGTTTTTTGTACCCACGTGAGGAAAACCCTCTCTTGGTGAATGGAGGAGATGGATAATTTAAACATTAAACATCGTCATCGCCTAATAATGTCCCTGCTGATATTATCGTAAAATGTTTAATAGTGTAACTCTATTTTTTACATGTTTTGTAATTAGAGAGAAACAAAGAATTTGATTAGCATTCAATAACAAAATTACACAAAACATAAGCAATAACAAAACAACAGGCCAACTAGGTCCTTTCCTCGGCACGATGCTGCTGACGACCTCAGTGGTTTGTACGCCGGGTTTTATGGTCTCGCCGACTCGAGAGCTCCCGGGTTCAAATCCCGGTGGGGGCAGATGTTTGTGAGATGAATACGAGCATTAATATATGTTATATCCGTATCCGTGTACATATGTACAGTATATGTATTATATCCGTTACCCTATTATCCTATAACACAACCCTTATAGTGTTAACTTTGGGGCTAGGCTAATTGGTGTGTTGAAAAAAAAATGCCACAGCGACGCCAGGGCCGCTGCGGCGCTGATATTCTGCCAGGCCTAAGGTTGACGACACAAATTCACGTTTTTGTCTTATATCTGTACCTATATAAATAAATTGTGAATAAGCTTAAATTTTCCTTATTACCAGAAAAACATTAGATTAGCGTTTAACACGAGTGTAAGAAAAAATAATTTCCTAAACAAGGTTTAACACAGTGTCTAAGTTTTTTGTAGTAAGACTGAACCCCCTTATCAATAAACGCAGAATAAGCTTGGATTTGTTACTCCATGTTTTATCTCTGTTTATCTCTATATATATAAAACTCAAATGTGACTGACTGACTGACGTAGTGACCTATCAACGCACAGTCCAAACCACTGGACGGATCGGGCTGAAATTTGGCATGCAGGTAGATGTTATGACGTAGGCATCTGCTAAGAATTATATATTGGGCTGAGACTTTGCATGGAGGTATAAGAAGAATCATAGATGAATGTCATTGTGTATAATACAAGCCTGAGAACAAAAACTGTAGTCTACACTTCAGCTCTACACCGAAGCGAAGCGAGGGCGGGCAGCTAGTTAAATGTTAAATGTTATTTGAGTGATATGAACAAAACACGGCGTTGCTAGTATAAGCTTTATACCTCGGTTTTTTTTAAACACACCAATTAGCCTAGCCCCAAAGTAAGCACTGTAAGGCTTGTGTTATGGGATGCAAGGATAACGGATAGAATACATATACTCTACATATAAAAGTAAATTTATATAGAAATACATATTTAACATGCATGACTGGAGTACAAATGCTGGTATTCATCACACAAACATCTGCCCCCACCGGGATTTGAATCCGGGACCTCTTGAGTCAGCGACACCACGAAACCCGGCGTACAAACCACTAGGCCACGGAGGTCGTCCAAATGCCGTCTCGTTTATTAATAAGAGGGTAATTATTTTTTCTTTATCAAAAGTGACCCTTTAGTTAATATATTAATTTAATGATTATTCCAATGGTTTCGGTGCAGATAAGCCGTTGTCTCTAAAATGCAAATCTTCTCCCTCATTTATTACCCGTTGCTATACGGTCATGAATTAAGGGAACATAATAACTCTTCCATAGATTTACGACTTATCAGGAACCAAAACTTTAATATGATGATTAGTGGATTTAATTATGTATGCGCGCAGAAAGGAAATAACTGGATGTTTTTACTAGAAAAAAGTAACAAGTCAATGAACAATCGAGGTGAAATAATTAGATAGGCATTTCATTAAATGTTAAAATCGAATTGATAATGTGTAAAATACCTTATTAGCGAAGAAAAGAGAAGAAATTTTGTGTTAGTTTTTTTTTACCTTTGTTACGTGTACCTATTGAAATTGAATTAACTGAAAAAAGGTTAAGGTGGAGGACAAATCCATCGTTAGAATGGCACTAACCTCACAGTGTTGTGTCTTTTATGGTTTCCAATATGAAAGAGACATTTATATTTCTCGCTTATGATATTGCTTCTTTTTAAGTAAACCTGAATTTTAACCTGCTCATCTCAGATTGCAGCTTCGGCAGCTACTTAAACATTATTGCCCTTTTAAGGCAAGCTTTTGCTAATAAAATTTAAGTTACACATTCGTTTTTGTTTAATTTATAGTCTATCAAGAGTCCTTTCAACCTAGAAAGCTTTTTACCATAACCTACTCTAGAATTAGGGACATATGGGTATTAATTTATAAACATAATTAGACAGTGGCTAAGCAAAATTGCTAATATACCACTTCGGTGCTGCTTTAAAATTGACTTAATTGCACTATTATTTAATGTTAATTTTTAAGCAGCACCAAAGTGGTGTATCACCAAGTTTGCTTTTCCAGTGTCGATATTAATAATTGTGCATCACAACTGATATTTTAAATTTAAGTTTAAGTTAATTGGAAAGAAATCATTAAAGACAATTTATTCGAATAAGTATCCAAATTGAAGAGGCTCTAGAAATTTATGATCTTTGTTATAAAGCGCATACCTATTATGTATCGTAGTATTTATCTATGGTGAATAGCTATCAAATAAGTGGTTAGAAGGGTGTATGTTTTATTCATCAAAAAGAAGAAATATTTGCCAAGAATAGAGGCAAATTTTATAGATAAATAAGTAATGTAGAGTCGTTAAAACATTTAAATATAACTCTGAATATCCCAGAGACTTCAATCAAATACAAGGTATACTTGAGTGGTATCTATAATTAATAAAATGTGAAATTATTACATATCAAAAGTTAACAAAAGTATAATTGTAATCAATTTCCAATTAAAGGGAGAGTAGTTGGGGTAATAGGTATGCTAAGGTTTTAATTGATACAAGAACTGATAATGACATGTCAAATTATATGCTCCCAAAAGCTTGATCTCCTTCAAGTGAGTATTGCCCAAAGGTTTAGTACATACACAAATTATAATTATACAAATTTCCAATACATTAGAAGTGAAGCATATTGTAGGGCATCCATCACACGCGGCTCGCGCGCCTCGACTGCACGCACACCAGCAAACTGGCCAAAAAGAAAAAAGGTTTAAACCCCACCCCACGGTCAGGCCACACCTCTTTAACCGCCCGTTTAGGTTTTATCCAATCAGATCGCAGTTAGCGCTAGCCGACAGCCGCCGGCGCCGACAGCAGCCGACGCCGCCCGACGAGCGCTCACAACAAAAAGTCACACGACTGGTTTAGTGTCGGGTTGCGTCCCATCGGCGCCGCATCACGTGCGCTCGCAACCGCAATTGCGCTGGCGCCCAAACAATGAACTGTTTTTGTAATCACAACAAAATCTGACGCGGTCCACCACCAAACATTCAATTGACATAAATACAAAATTAGATTACATTTTTATTAATTGTATGATTGTGCACTGTGATATTAAAGATATTCAGCGAAAATGAGAACGGCATGGAGCTAATGATTTCAGTGTGTTTTTCCAACCCAGTATTATCAGTGATACATAGTGATAGTGAACTTTGTGATACGCATCTGATAAGGACATTTTGAGGTATTTCAAGTTATTATCAGTTTTTTGTAAAATTTTCATATAAACTATGACAGAAGCACAATATAACCGTGATAAGTACTTTTTATTTTTTCTAATAATCAAAGGTATTACGTTAACGACTATTAAACATGAAAATACAATCGCAGTGATATCACTTTATTTTTTAACAATTGAAGCTTTTGAGTATGTTTTATCAGTTAAAACACGGCTCTACATATTACTTAGTACTGACAGAAAACCATTAAAACATCTATGCAGGAAGAAATCTTTTAGATTAAATACAAAATAGTCAATTGAGATTGTAAACACATACAAGTAGAACGAACTTATCCTATATTATTGCATTTATCAGTGGCCTCTAATTAAAAATCACAATAACATAACCACCGCCGCGCCGCCGCGCGCCGAAACGGTACAGATTTTATAAGAAATTCCACCACAGAGTAGAGTTCAATTTGCTACTCGTAATAAAAAAAAAAACAAAACACTGCCAACCTATTTGAATACATTAAAAAAAAACTTTGACCTCTTTTTAAGATAAAATTTGACGAATTCCATATTTTAGCAATATCTTGATTAAATTAGAATCTAAATGGGCTTAAACTCAGGAGGAGTAGTGAATACATAAAATATTTTATTTATAAACATTTGGTCTATGCTATCACATGATTCTTCTCAACATATGAAAATCTTAATTTATGTATTACGCATTGGCGATTATGCATATTTTTCCATATAAAAATCATGGAAAATGTTTTTAAAGAAAAGACTTAAACGAAATCTCTACCTAGATAATTTATATTTAAATATTTTATGAAAATATATTTTATTTAATTTGAAAAATGAATATATTATAGGTAGCATAATGCTAACTATTTTATTTAAAATACTCGTATTTATATTTTTTTTGCACATAATTGAATTTTAATAGGAATTGACACCTACTTATTTTTATACAGTGCCGATCTTTGATTCTTATTATACACATGTACCTATTATATATGAGTTAATATTTAAACTGTTTAAAATAATAGTTAAATATGAACAAACTTCTTTATATTTGTTTCTTAGGTTTTCACGCACATCACTCATTAAATAAAACTAGTTTTTACGGGTTAATGCACGAATTTTATTAATAATTGACTGACGACGTAGCCTGAAAAGGCTACGAAACGTCAATAAATAAATAATTTTTCGTGCATTAACCCGTAAAACTAGTTTTAAACTTCTTTATATACATCGAAGGGGTAAGATTTATAATATCTGTAATATCCTTTGTAGGATCGCAGGAAAACTTTTCAAAAACTATAGCTAGATATATTTTTTACAATATCCGTTTTCATATACTTACCTATATAAAAGAGGCAGAACATAACGAAATTACCCCTCAAATTGGATCGTCCGTTTGGGGTAATAATCTCCACCTAACAATGAAATAACACTACCTTTTGATGGTGTTGTGTTTCTGTCAGTGTGTAACTAACAGGGTTTTACGGGGTTAGAGGATAGGATCAGTATAGGCAATTGGCAAGTAATTTCTATTACATTAATATGACTATAGGCTATGGTAGCTTCTTACCAACAGGCAGGCCGGTATGCATGTTTGACGCTTATAACAATAAATAAATAAAAAAATATTTCCAACATTCACACCAATTAGCCTAGCCCCAAAGTAAGCACTGTAAGGCTTGGCTTGTAAGGGATACTAGGGTAACGGATAGAATACTTAAACTGTACATCAATAAGTATATTTATATAGAAATACATATTAAACATCCATGACTGGAGTACAAATGCTCGTATTCATCACACAAACATCTGCTCCTACCGGGATTCGAACCTGGGACCTCTCGAGTCGGTGACACCATGAAACCCGGCGTACAAACCACTCGGCCACGGTGGTCGTCAAAACAAAATCTTTAATGTATAAAATTTCAATGTGTCATCTAATTTTAATAATTTATTGATGTTATAACTTCCACTGACATACGCATGGATTTATATCTTAACACTGAAGTTTAAACAATAGTTAATATTAGATCGATACAGATCCATACAGATTTCAATGTTTTGATTAGGGTTCCGTACCCAAAGGACCACGTGCCTCTTGTCTAGTTCGTAAATGGAAGGCGTTACAGAAATAAAATTTTGGTTTTTATGTAGAACGCTTCCCCAAAGCTGAATAATTAGTAAAAAAAAAAATTTTACCCCGGCATGTACATTATTGTCTAGAGCTTATTGACTAGGATACAAATAATATTTTTTTTTTATTTTCATTAACAAAGAAATGGGGGGCCGGCAAAGATATAATTTTTAGACCATTTTTGTTACGGGGTCTATCTTAAAAAGGGAAACTGGTTAAGAATGGGAAATTTAGGTATATGATGTCCCATATGCTGTATTTAAACAACAAATATTTATAACGCCTATTTATTACGTAGTTCTTAAGTTGTAATGAAAATAAATAAATGATTTTACGGAACTCTAATAGAGTCGCATATGGTCAGTTTATGCAAAAGTTGTGTTATATTCTTGAATTTTAAATTTATTTAGGACATTTTAGTTACTTCTAAAAATATGTATTATATTTTTATTTGATAATAATTATACCTATTTAAATATTCTATTTGTATGACAGCGTTCCGAAATAGAACATAGTACTTATATAGAAAAGTGAAGTGCTTGAACTCTATTAAATACAATAAATTAATAGTTTTTAATGATATATCAAGAAACAGCTTAAGCGACAGTAATGTACAGATTTTTTTAAAACAAATCCACTGTTCTTTGTATATTAGTTTATAAATCAATTAGATTTCATAGGCGCGGAAAAAATGCATAATACAGTGCTTGTTGGGTTTATTTTTCCAGTTGTAGTTTGTTAGATTTGCTTTATAAGATTTGATATTCTCATGTTCTAACTTCTCATTTAAGTGTAAAAATGCTCCCATAAACATTCGTAGTTAGTCACTGAAGTCACATTTATTAGGGTTTTTTAAACTTTGAGTCATTGTATGTTTATATCACAATTTTATTAATATGTCACAAAAACACGAGGTTGTTGCCATTATAAGTAATGTAAGAAGGTAGGTTTTTTATTTTAGCCGTCCTTCACCTTAATAAGTATGGTACATTTTGACTTTCGCATTTTGTTCGCTTAGTAATAAAAATGTTTCATTTGACTCAATTTTTTGTTTTTAAAGTGTGGGTAAGTATTAAATTTTTCTACTTGGAAAGCATGGTGGGAGATTCAAAGCAATCAAGCAGTTAGTGCGCTTGATATGTAGATATTTTTACTGTTAAAGATTCTTGAGATAAGTTTTTAGGGTTCCGTAGTCCTGACAAGCAACCCTTATAGTTTAGTCATGTCGTCCGTCTGTCCGTCCCCGGTTTTTATTAGAGACTACATATTAGCACTAGAGAGCTGTAATTTTCTGCAGATATGCATATCGATTACGCCGACAAAATGGTAGAATAAAGTTTTGAAAAGTATATTTTTAGGGTAGCTCCCCTACATGTAACCTGGGGATGATATTTCTTAGGGGTTTCTAAGACCATTTTTAAATTTAGGAATTGAAATTTAAAGTGCTAATTTTTGTTCGAGTAGCGCGTCCCCTCTCTAAACGCTAAACTATTGGCTTGAAAAACCTGAAAAATCACGATAATAGTGCTTTTCATGAACTTTTAAGAAAAACTATAACGATTAAGATATATTTGTTAGTTTAAGAGTAATAGTTGTCCAAATTTTGTTAAAGAAAATTTCTCGCTCATTGATAATTCCTTAAAAGAAAACATTAATAGTGACATAGATGAAGTTATTGTAGCGCAAAACCTTGCATTGCTACAAAATCTAAAAAAAGAACATATTTAAAAACTACTATAAAATATCATTAGTTCCACAACGCTACCGCGAGTACCAACGACAACGGCTTCTGAGTCGCGCTAACGTTACGTTTTTATATAAAGTACTAGCTGACCCGGCGAACTTCGTACCGCCTTAGCGTAGCTTTGATGCACTACTTTATTTTGTATAGCTGACCTATCTTATGTATGAGTACCTATTCATTGTTAGCGCGGTTATGGATATAGGCACTTGAAAAGATCGGCGGTTATAACGCATCATCCCCTTCTCAGGGAATGATCGCTTCAGGTGAAGCTTTTAGTCAGTAACAGTCTTACATAACCTTGCAAGCTGGCTGTAGGGTATCCATGACAATTTTTACACCCGGCGGTTATAATAGGGATGATGACTAATTTTTTTTTTCTTCGTTTATCAGGTAGATTATCAAAAAGTATTGGACACGTATTTTTTCCTTTTTCACATAATATAAACATTGCAGAGATATATTGATTTGAAAAGTCGCATGACATCACGTTTGAGTACACTTATAAGGGAAAATTCACTCAAAAGTGACGTCACGAGCCCCTACTCCCAAACTTTGACGCGCTATAACTTTGTCATTTTTTGGTTGATTGCCCAAAGAAAAAATACGTGTCCATTATTTTTTGATTATCTTACTGACGGACTAAATAGAATTTCGTTTACTGTACCCCGTCATCACCCCTATTCGTATTTAAAAGAAAAATCTAATTGATTTTGAGTCTGGAACGTAGTTTGACTTTGATTTAGGTATTTAAGTTGAGATACATAGATTGGTATTAATTGGTTTTTATAATTTTCGGATATAAAAAAATAAAGACTCCTGCTCAAATATATTGTGGGAACTAAAGGCAACTACGGAACTCTACACTGCGCATGGCACGACACGCACTTTATCGTTTTTTTAGATTGCTGAAACAAAAAAAGTAAGAGCTATATTTTTTACAACAAATAACCAAGCTTAAATTGCTCAGCTTATCACCTTTGGGATAAGGTTAAATTAAATAAGTTTTCCTTATTTTTTATGTCTATTTTCTACATGTATGTTTTCTGTCTATTTCCTAAAACTTATATAGGTACCTTCCTGAAATAAATAAGGGAAATATTTAAATGATCATCA